CTATCTATCTATCTATCTATCTATCTATCTATCTATCTATCTATCTATCTACCTATCTATCTATCTATCTATCTATCTATCTATCTATCTATCTATCTATCTACCTATCTATCTATCTATCTATCTATCTATCTATCTATCTATCTATCTATCTACCTATCTATCTATCATCTATCTACCCATCAATCATCAGGATGAACTCAATTCTTGTTTTTAATTGTTTAAAATTTATCATTGCATTTAATTATTTTGGTGGTCAGATTGTCCCACATTTGGCTAAAAGCTGCTTCAGTCTGGTTCCTGCAACCTTGGGACATGCATCAATCATTTTTTTGAGCAAGTCCTTCATTTCCAGCATAAAACGTTGTTCTAGGCACATTTTGTAAGTACCTTGCCCTGGCCCTGGAATCCATTTCACTGAGGGGTCCTCGTTCCTTTAAGTAAGGAGTGGTATTAGGGACCACGTTTAGGAACTCAGCATGTTCAGGTACCCCATTCTGGTTTAGAATGGTGAGATGGTAATCGTATAGATGTTTCGACACTACTCCTAAAGATCGCTGAAGTCATGTTGTAGTTTTACAACAAAAGGTAAACAAACATAGGTTTTAAAGATGAGAAATTAAAGAAATGCTTCTGATTTAGGTGCTGCTTATGTGCCACTCACAACTCTCCTACTAACCCTCCGCTGAGGTAGCAATTCTAAGCGGTCTTAGCTGCCAGGCCCTCTCTGGAGCTGTACATATTTCTTCCTTCCCGCTCTCGGTGGCTGCCCTGAGGCTATAGCATGGGCACCATGGGCATTGCTCTGCACTCAGATCCATGAAACCTCTAATTGGTGGAGAGTTATGCCCACGGCGTCATCCTGATCAGCGGAACATAGGAGTGATGGTTAAATGTTTCTTCGGGACAGTGTGGAGATGCGTTTCACAGGCCTCCTGAAAGGTCCGGCGGGGTGGAGCCCCAGTTGCCTTCCACAGTGTCTTCCTCAGTAACTCACTCGTGTTCACTTTTCCTCTCTCCCGTTTCACTCCTCCTGCTTTTCACTTCTGCTCCCTGAGATCATTTCCCAAATAACTGTACGTGAAATTTTGTCTCAGGTTCTGCGTCCAGAGGGATTCAGGCTAAGAGTGCATATATATAAAAGTCAAATGGGAGGGACACTCCTTGCTAATTTACTCAGGTCTTGCAGAGCAGCTGAATAGCAGGATAAAGCAACATTAGATTATTTTACATAAATATCATTTTGGAACTCACTGGTTTCTCTGCCTCTGCAACATATCCTTTCACCTATTTCTCCCTTTTCTTGCTCTCCCGATCTCTGTTCTCATGTATATCTTGCTGATCATTCATCTCCCTTCCCTCCTTGCTTTGTTTGATCTCTAGCCCACTTCTTTCCACCTCATGATATTTCTGTCTCCTTCGTGCCTTTGCTGTTTTTCTGATTCCTCTTATTTTCTTTCATTTCCTATTGTTAGTAAACAACTTTGGGAGCCAACCTAGCTTGTTAGACAGTTGAGTTCTATGGCTTTAAGCTCCTTGCATTGTCTCACAAAATGGGGGCGAGGGTGGGGGAGCTGGGATTAGATTGTGTGCTCCCCCAAACTAAGGATTCTGAAAGCTTTGCTGAGTATTGATGAGACTGGCCTTGAACAGACATCTCATGAATGTTGAAGAATTAGCACGTGAAGGGTATACGGAGAGATGATGGGACTTCCAGTTCCCTGATTGCCACAGAAATCACAGAGTGGGCTCTGGGAACTGGTCCTGAGTATGTGTATCCCTTAGCCCAGTCTTCTTACCCTAGTCTCTGCTCTTCAGCTGGATCATGGAGTTTATTCATTCCTGGGAGTGGAAAACCAGAATCTGGAGAGGAGCTGAGAGATTCATGGTTAAGTCTTAGCTTGCCCCAGGACAGTGCACAGCAAGGCCAGCTTTTCCTGGAGGTGACTTGTTTTGCCTCTCTGGGAAACCACCCAAGTACATGCATTCGTTCACATTTCAAAAGCACTTTATTACCAAAATGAACAAAAGGAGAAAGGCATTTAAATTAAATAAATTACACAAATGTCTCAAGAGTCCCGGCCTTCCCCGGGAACCACATCATCACAGGTCAGTATCAGTAAGAATATTTAAAAGTATTGAAATTCTGGATTATTTCACTACCTTGTCCTTTCCTGCTTCAATCATTTCCAGAGAGTGGTCTGTGTGAATTTGTGTTCTTTCCAAAGTATTCTAAAAGTGAAAGTTTCTTTAATGTCTTTCTCCACTCCACGTGTTTCCAATTCCAATCTCACCTCCTCTGTGGACCCTGTGAGTACTTATACCCTTGGACATGTTGCAGGATCCCTCCTTGAGCCCCAACTCCAGGCTGCTGTGAGTCAGCAGTTCCCTTTAAGCCTGGGGCTGGCCTGGTGGTTAATGGTGACTTCATCAAGTCCCCAAGGGAGGGAAACACTTGGTTCAAAGGGAACCTCTTGACTTGGGATGTTCTGAGACTGTGATCTTTATCTATTTCCTAGGCCTGAGCTAGACTTTAAAGGAGGTGGAGTAGGGGAGGGTGAGTTGTCATTGGCTAAGGTCTTGTCTTCCCGGAATTTGGCACTTTGGGTGCTGGGCATGGTGAATCCCAGATAACATTGTCTTCCGCCTTCCAAGTTTTGAGTTCCATTGGCAGCCAGATGGCATAATAATTCAGAGAAGCAGTGCTCCTGGGCCAAGAATCTGTTGGCTCTTTGCCAGTACCTACTTCTTTAACTCTAAGAAGACTTGCTAGCTGACTGACTCACTCAGTATACAGACACACAGTGCAGGTCAGGCTGAAGTGAGGAATTGGCACATTTTTCCGGGCTGGGCCAGCCCAGCCTGTTGGGCAGGGGTCATTAAGTTGAAGGAGCTTGAGAAACGCAGTGGGGAGAGGCCAAATATTTTCTGTGCACATCCATGGAGAATTTCCCAAACACTTGCACATGAAACCTATTTATTTTCAGGTCACAGTGGGTTCCTCTAGTTACCTCCTTATGTACATAGAGAACTTAACCCCTCTTCTCATCTTTCCTAGAAGGAGGTGGCCTCAGGTCCTGAGTTTGTAAAGGAACCCCCGTGGAGGAAGACCCAATCTGGGTGAGCCTTTCTCCATGTTCTGTGCCTAGGTGTGGGGATGTAGCTGGTCTTTGGGGGGCATTCTCCCTTGCCTGCCTGAAGGATTCGGGCCCCAAGCTGATAAGGAAGAATTAAATTCATTGGCTCTTGCCAAGTGAAGAGGGACAAGGTAGATTTCCCAAGTGGAGGAGGCATTTCCCTGATGGGCTGTGAGGTCAGGGGGACTGTCAAGGCCCACTTAGGTACCACCAGTTTGCCCTAAGTTGACACTAGCACCCCCACCCCATCTCTGGTACATTGGGGGAATCCCAAAAGCTTTTGTGCAGAATAACTGGTACCTGTTGCTAGGTTGCCAGAGGATTCTGCCAGCTACCCTCCTTTCCCTTTTGGATTCCTACCATCTTAAGTGGAAGGGGGCAGCCCCCCAGGACAGAGGGAATGGTAATGTTTCAGGAAGCTGGGGCAGCTACCTTGGCGAACTGCCCCTGGGGAGGTAGCTCTGCTGGCCTTGAGGGCCCTGGCTACCCCTCAGGCTCAAGTCTGATGTGTTGAATAGCATAGAGGTCCCAGCAGCCTGGACATGAGGAAGTGGCGCAACCACCAAGACAGATTCCTGGGTTGTGGGGAGCACATGGTCCCAGAGGTGCAGAGCTACCAGGAACAGAGTTGGGGCAGCTGGAGGGGGTAAGCAACAGAATCCTAAGCAAGTTGGTCCCTGTGTCTTGTGATAGTTTGACACCATTTGACACCAAGCCACACAGGCCCAAGGACACTTTTGAAACTTGCACTCCAAGTCAGCATTCACACTTTCCCTTCTATCCTTGGTTCATGCCTCAAGTCCAGCAGTCAGGGGCTCCGATCAGCTGCCACGAGGAGCAAACAGGACACTTGCTGGCCAGGGCCATGAGGGGTTAGCAGAAGACTGAAGAGGTGGCTTTCCCTGCTTCTGAGATTGGCTCACTCTAGAGATGCCAGGAGGGAGGCGGGGTAACGAGAGAGGAGGAGGAGACTGGAGAGGAGCTGAAGTCCTGGTGGAGGTGCTGTCCTCTACCTGTCGTCCGCTGTGACCCCAGGCTCGTCCTTCACGAAGTCCCAGGTGCCATGTGCTCTGAGGCAGCCTGGGAACTGCTGGGCCCTCACAGGGCGGTCAGAGTCTCTGCGTGAAACATGCTCCCGAACATCTCCTGTGGGGAAGGAAACGGGAGTTGAAGGAGCTGCTTTAGAATGGCTGCAACCAAGAGGTGACCTTATGGACTCCTGGCCAGAAAGCAGCATTGTGAGTGTGTATGTGTGTGTGTGAGGGTTTGAGTGAGTGTGTGAGGACAGGTGAGAGGCAGGGTCGGCCTAAGAGGAGAATGGGTCCAGACGTGATAGGAGAAGATGTTTGGAATCCAGTTTGGAGTGTCCTCTGTTGTGCTGTGACCTTCCAGATGTCCCTCCCCTTAAAAATTTTTTTAATTGATTTTTTTTTTTTTTTTTAAGAGAGACAGAAGAAGGGATGGGGTGGGGGCGGGGGAGAGAAAGAAATACTGATTTGTTGTTCTGCTTATTTATGCATTCATTAGTTGACTCTTGTATGTGCCCTGACTGGGGATATCAGGACAATGCTCTAACCAACTGAGCTATCTGGCTAGGGCTGCCCCTCTTTTTTCTGGCTGATAAATTATTTTGGAACATGCTGGAGATTCCATGGGGGCCTAGCGATCAGCCTGCAAATCTTCGTGGCTCTTGCTGCATTTCTTGTCCCCTTCATGTCATCAGCACTCCCAGAGGCGTGCTCAGAGGACCGTGGAACCCAAGCCCACAAAGAATGGGAGGAAGCATGAAGTTAGATGCTACTTCTGTCTGGTTTCTTTTAGTTCAGCATTGCGGTAGTGCTACTCTTCATGTCGGGACCGCAAGGTCCTATGGAGATATTAACTCCTCCCATCTGCATAGCTCTTCGCCTTTAAGGCCTGTCCACATGCAACAGTATTTGTCCCACGAGCATTTGCACCCTTAGAATTCATCTGACCCTACCAGGTATGTTTCCTAAGGGCAGGGGTCTTTGTTTAGTCCACGGCTGTATGCCCACCCTGAAACTGTGTAGGCAAGCAGTAGGCGCTCCATAAATATCTGCTGAATTAATGAAAGAACAGTTACTCCCCTGCTAATCTTGTGAGTAGACGGCACAGGTGTTACCCACATTTCCCTCATTTTGCAGTGATGAAAACTGGGGCTTGGTGTTGCTATGTGGTTGCCCAGGATCACGTGGTTGATGTGTTGGAGAGTTAAGAATAGATGTTCGTTCTCTAGGACTAGGTCCAGTGCCCCCTCCCCCCCTGCCTTTCAGGGAGTGAGAAGAATTAAGATCTGCTATTAAAAGAAAGGTGAGAAAGAAACACTGTTGACTTCAAGATGACCATTCTGGCCTGGAGGTGAGAGCTCCCGCTGAGCACCTTGGATCTGAGAGTCTCCCTTCCCCGCCTCCCCCA